GCCTATCCAACACATTCTTCATCTATAACGGACAAAAATACAAACAAACAGAAGGAGCACCCATGGGATCACCCCTCTCACCTGTCATTGCCAACCTCTACATGGAACACTTTGAAACCCAAGCTCTAGAAAAATCTGATCACAAACCCAAACTCTGGCTCAGATACGTAGATGACACCTTCATAATCTGGCCACATGGGAAAGAAAAACTGGACAACTTCCTCACACACCTCAAAAGCCTACACCCCAAAATACAGTTCACCATGGAAACAGAAGCTAACAACCAACTTCCCTTCCTGGATGTCTTAGTCTACAAGAAATCCAATGGCTCCCTAGGACACACCATCTACCAGAAGAAAACACACACAAACCGCTATCTGCACGCTCTCTCACACCACCACCCAGCACAGATCCACTCTGTAGCCAAGACACTCATCTCCAGAACAAAACGCTTAGCTGACGAACAACACCTAAAACCCGAACTACACACTCTCACCAATGTACTAACATCCAATGGATTCCATAGAAATAAGATTACAAACCTAATCCAAAAAGAAACCCCCACTAAATCCAAGACAAAGAACAAGAAAACGGCAAAGCCCTCCTCCCATACATAAAAGGCACCACAGACAGAATCAGTAAGATCCTCCATAAACACAACATCAAAACAGCATTTTGCACAAACAGAAAAATATCCACCATCCTTAGAAACCCAAAGATAAAATTGAATTAGAAAATCAAGGAGTATACGAAATCCCATGCACCACTTGTCCCACCACATACATCGGACAAACCAACAGAAGAATAAGTGCACGCATTGAAGAACATAAGAACTCAATCAAAAAAGAGGAACCAAAATCTTCCCTGGTCCAACACCTTAAAGCTACAGGACATGAAATTGACTTTAAAAATACCAGAACCATTGCCAAAAGTGAACATTTTAATAACAGAATAATCAGAGAAGCCATCGAGATAGAAAAAACGCCCACACAGCATGAACAAGCGAGATGATACCTCCCGCCTACCAGCCATTTGGAAACCCGCCCTCATTGACAAACGACTCCTAACACAAAAAATGATACCAGACCCACACTCACAAAAACCACACAGGATGTCACCACCAAACATCCACGCAAAAAACAAACCCAAAGCCACACTGACTATGAGGCACGACCACAAACCAGAAGCCAGACCACAGCTGCATCATTAGCCACTTTAAACCCCCCCACTCCATACATGAAGCAAACTGACACCCTCCATGAAGAGGAAGCACGACCACGAACGTGAAGCCAAGGAATGGCAGGGCAGCCCAAAATCTTGAATCCCTCTGCAACTCAGACTAACCTGAGCACAACCAAACAGAACACTCCCCCAGCCAATCAGAGCACAGCCAACCCCCCAGCCAATCAGAGCACAGCCAACCCCCCAGCCAATCATAGCACAGCCAAGCCCCTAACCAATCAGAACACACCTCCACCCAATCAGAACACAGCCAAGCTCCCACCCAATCAGTTCATACCTCCACTGGCAGTTAAAAGGAAGAAACAGCCAAGACCACACACTGCTGCTCGAGGCACGAAGCTGAAAACACCAGCCTGAAGATGACGAATGGGACTTCGTCGAAACGTCGCCAAGACACTTCCAATTTTACGTGGGAGAAAACCCGAACAACCAAAGACCTACATCTATCTATCTATCTATCTATCTATCTATCTATCTATCTATCTATCTATCTATCTATCTATCTATCTATCTATCTATCTTCTAAATAGCCAATAAAATCGTGAACACCAGGAATATAATAAACTAAAAAAGTTTAATACTGTGTTTATATATATTGAAGTACATGGTTGATGTACTTCTTCTTTTAACTGCTCTTAGTTTTTTTATTTAATTCTTGTTTCCAGTTAGAAAGTTGTTCCTTGACTTACAATCATTCATTTAATGACTGTTCAAAGTTACAGTGGCACTGACAAAAGTGACTTATTACCATTTGTCACGCTTATGACCATTGCATCATCCCATGGTCACTTGATCAAAATTTGGGTTCTTGGCAAATGGCATGTATTTATGACAGTTGCACTGTCCCAGGGTCACGTGATCACCATTTGTAATTTCCCCAGCTGGCTTCCAACAAGCAAAGTCAGTGGGGGAAGCCAGATTTGTTTAATGACCACATGATTCACTTAACAGCTGCAGTGATTCACTTAACATCTATGACCAAAATGGTCATAAAATATGGCAAAACTCACTAACAACAGCAACAGAAGTTTTGAGCTCAATTTGGGATGTAAGTCAAGGACTGCCTGTATAAATATTACAATATTATTTTGTTTGTTTGTTATACATTGTACTTTCTGTTCATGGATTTTGTTTCTTCATTTATGCTTTCTAGTTCCTTTCTACTTTTTTGAAATTGGTCCTCTTATGCTTTCTAGTTTCTTGGACTTTCTATCCTCTTTTGAACATTGTTCAAACTCCAACTGCAGTTTTATTAGCTTCTTTCAAAAGTCATGAAAAACTATACTGTAACTTTTTTGATGTTTCAGAAAATCAGATTAGATTGGTGTTGTACAAAAGAAGCAGTTTCTTTAAAAACAAATCTCATAAAGAAAATTTAAATCATTATTTGAACCAGCATTGCAACTTATGTATTTGATACATTGTAGTTCTGTCTGTATAGCTTGGCAGGTAACATATCATAAGGAAAAAAAAACCTCCTGTCACTCAGATTATCCTGCTGAAACGATAAAAGCTTGTTGTAACCAGACAGAACGATTTTTGTCTGATATGATTTGAATTTAGTTCATTTTAGTTCTCAGAATAAATTTCTGGACTCATGATTCTTTCAGTTGATCTAAAAATTGTGGCTAAAAGCAAAGTAGACTAAACAAACCTATAATATTCTTACCACTGAAATATGAGAGAGAGCTTTTATACCTTGAATAAAATGGATGTCTTTTCAGAAATAATAATGTTTTCTCTTTAAGGGCTTATTTTTTCTTCTCTTTATGCCCCAGTGCTATAATTTTTAAAAAATGCAAAAAGAAGTAATTGGCAGAGATCTTGTCTCCATACTCCTCCCATTTTTCTCTTTAAGCTACGGGAGGGGGACCTATTAAGGCTTCTTTCAAGTCCGTGGTACATGTAATTTTTTAAAACGACTCAATTCCTAAAAAATTGCCAAATCTACAAGATTGGGTGTTACTTCCACAGCATTACTGGTGGGAATGCTAAAACCTCATAAGATTGTAGCCGGTTATATTTTTCAACTTGATTTTATTTTAGTATGCTGTCTTATCAATAAAAGCTGTGGAAAATTTAGTGAACGGTGGTACCACAGATGCCAGATCACTGTCACTTGTTTATCATCTAAGGCAGTGGTTCTCAACCTGTGGGTCGGGACCCCATTTGGGGTCGAACGACCATTTCACAGGGGTCGCCAAACAACGCAGTCCGCCATTTTTTTCCCCTTAGCTGTGCTACTCCCTTTTATTCTATTGGCTTTTGACTCTCTTGAATAGAGTCTAATTCTATTGGCTTTCAAAAGCCAATAGGAATTGTCCAGGCTGTCTCTGCCCTGCTGAGCCCGCCAAAAGCCCCATTCTGCAAACGGTGCTGCACCAGTTGAGTAGTCCTCGACTTACGACCGGTTGGGGGTCGCGACATTAAAAAGGTTGAGAACCACTGATCTAAGGTTATAAATAAGAACTGGTGGTCTAAATAATCTGTGTTTATCTTGAGAATGAATTTATTTCTTAATAGAATTGAAATCTAAGTGCACCTTCTAAGTACTGTCTCAAAAACGCAATCATGTGATAGTCATTATAACCTTCCTGGTATCCTGGTATTCTATAATACCATTTGTCCTTTTCTTTGTAATTTTAAATAAGATATTTCCCATGTGTCTTTTAAAGGTAATTGTTGTTTGACTTTAATAACTTTTTCATAAAGCAGATAATTTTTAATACAAGTGGGCTCTTTATATGATTTGTCACCAGATGCTCTTACAAAAGCAAAATAGTAACTAAAATCATAAAATTTAGTCACTCCCCCCCAAAAAAGGATGTGGCTACCTTACACCGTCATATGATGCAGTAAAACTAGTTTACCCAATTGCTATTGATTAAATAATATTAACAATCAACAGATATCATTTTAAGGAATTATTGGCTACAGGAATCTTCAAGGTGAATGTAAAAGTAGTTGAATAAATTCCATTATTAGAGAATAGTTTTATGCAGCAGAGAGCATTTGCTACTCTTAAAAGTGTTGAACACAAATGGGAACATTAGGAAGCCTGAGATCTTAAATTCACAGAGTTTTTATAAGTTCTTTTATATCTTACCCAGATATCATTTATTATGTATTTGGTCAGGGCTTCCCTTGAATGCTTTCAAAATGACTGACAGAATTTATTCTAGCAAATTTCTATAAAGATAATTTTTACTAAATAGTTTCATATACGATAGTTTCATATGCAGTTGTTCTGACCCTCAATTTTTTTAGTTACCAACAAAGAGAAAAATGGGAAACCATGATGATGATGATAATAATAATAATAATAATAATAATAATAAAGTTGGAAGGGACCTTGGAGGTCATTTAGTCCAACCCTCTGCTCAGGCAGGAAACCCTATACCATTTCAGACAAATGGTTGTCCAATCTCTTCTTAAAAACTTCCAGTGTTGGAGTATTCACCGCTTCTGGAGGCAGGTTGTTCCACTGGTTAATTGTTCTAACTGTCAGGAAGTTTCTCCTTAGTTCTAAGTTGCTTCTCTCCTTGATCAGTTTCCATCCGTTGCTTCTTGTCCTGCCTTCAGGCGCCTTGGAAAATAGCTTGACTCCCTCTTCTTTGTGGCAGCCCCTGAGATATTGGATATACAGAATATACAGGAGGAGAGGATACATGGAACACTTGTCTCTTCTATCCCTAAGTACAATTGCATAAATTTCTTAATACGTCTTTTTTCATAATAAATCTTATCTGGAAATAATCTAATTTTAATACCTCTTTATTTTCTTTAAAAGTACATTAGGGATATTTCAGTCAATTGATTCTTCAGTTTTTAGTGTTCCAAGCCATTAGTTTTGTTGTAAATAATATGTATGGTAGGCTCTTCTCCCTTTATAAATAAAGATTGTTTGTTTATTTGCCACTTTGTTTCTGGATGAAATACACCATTGAAAATATATCTGGAAACTCATTTGTAATTTTATTTCTTTCTAACTGCCCAGGAGCAAAATATGCTATAATTGTGTGTTTATTGGTGTAATTAAGACCAGGTGAGAATGCAATGTATCCCACCAGGAAATGTACTTCTCACAATAAAATAAAATAACTGCATTAAGCTTGTACAGAGTTTGCCTGGAAGAAGAGCTTTGTGGTACAGGTGATATAATTCTTTTTGATGAAGCAAAAAGACAATGTGATATGTTCAGAAAAGTACTTCACATAGTCTCATAGTATCTTCCAATCTTTGCCAGTGGCCAGTAGCGTATACAAAAGCTAGAAGATACTGTACACGTGCAGAACATTTTCCCAACTTATGCAAGTCTTGTAGGGCTGGATGGAAGAACAAAATAATGCAATCTGATCACTTCATTTTAGAAGCAAAAGACCTCATTGTTTTGCAAAGGAGCTTTAGAGCTTTGCTTGGCTTTAAGCAAAGACCTCTTCAAGATTTATAGGCGATGGTGAAGTGGCTGCTTTATATAACTTTTCAGGCATTCCAAATAAGATGTTCTTCCTGAAACATTGTCTTTGCACCAGCCTTAGTTTTTTGTTGTTGTGTTGTTGTTGTTATTCAGAATGGCGTGTTTCTGCTTTTCTGGTTCCTGGAAGAGAAAGGATTAAGCAATTAAACAAAACTTTGTTCTAAAAAAAAAAAGATTTATAGGCCCCTAATCAGCATATTTGAAGAATAAAGACAATGTTGGTAAATAAACACAGGTGTTTTCAGGTAGAGCAGTTATTGTGAAACTGCTTTGTTTAATTGGTAGAATTTTACTAGGCTTGGTGAAGATAACAGTAATGTGTTGCTTTGTAACTTTCACTAGTTTCCCACAATTTTTCTATCTTTTCTGTTCTCCCTCCAAAAGTGAAGTAGTAGAGGACATTCTGATTGGTATAGCTATGAACTGTCTGCATATTTTATCTTTAAAAAGACAGATAAAAATTATTCTTTGGGTCACAAAAATGTGAATTAAATGCCTCATGTAACCAGTTTTGTGAAGTTGGTATCAGAAGCTTAGTGAAGAAGACACCAGATGCAATATGATTCTCAGACATTCCATAAATAAATGTAGCAGCCCTTCAGCTGAAAAGGCCTCTTTCAATTTTTTGCTTGCCTTACCTCAGAAAGAAGTATAAACCTGGAAAGAATCACTAATGACTCTGAATGCCTTTGCAGATTCATTCATAGGCAGACTTTTAATTTTTTATGGAAAAAGATTGCATGTTCCTGGTCTGGCAAGTGGATACAGGGAGAACTTATTGATATGATTATTTTGAGTATAATTTTTGTTATTTAACATGTTAGGAAGTGATTGCAATCTAGATTTTTAGATCTTATTTTGATAATTACTTTTAGGTTCCCGGGATCTGATTTCTTTTAGAAAGAAAGAATTTCTGAGGCCATTTTTACAACGGGATCAACTGTTTTATTATTGTAACATTTGAGAGGGATCCTTTTTGGGCTGTTTTCAGTTCATTGGAAGGAAGCTTTCGCTTTGGGATAAAAATGCTTAAATTGCAAATTACAGGAATAAAAGAGCCCAAAATATTGTTATTTTTATAGCTCCCTCCTGTTTTTCCTGTGCAAGTATTTTAGTAGGCTACAGTTGATCTACAGTTATGCTACAGTTGCATAAAATGTCTTGTTTGCTGAGATGGCACATTTCTTAACATGGTAATAGCAGAATTGTTGAGCGTTAGTTTTTCAGATCTTTCAATCTAATTATGCTGGGACATTGGGTATTGCAGAAAATGTTTTGTCTGTGAGCTCTTTATCCTAAGATCAAGAATGTGCTGCCTTTCTTACTTAACAGATGATGTAGGCTTTCATGAGGATTATTCCTTATGTGATAATGTGGGCCTGTCCTTCTCCCTTCCCCCCATCTCATTCTCTTGTAGGTACACACCCCATTTGACTCCCCTGAACCTGATAGAGCATATGAGGAAGATGAAATTTGAGTTTGAGTCAGTTGATTATTATTAATTGCATAACATTGCTCAGTGTTACAGTGTTGAACACTTGTACAGAAAGCATTTCTGAGGTGGAAGTTTCCAAAGAAAATGTGTTATTAAATGTAGGAACCTTTTTAAAAAAATCTGAATTGCAGCTGTTAGCTTCCATGTATAAATCTTGAACAGGAAAAACAGAGATATTCACATCTGTTATTCATCTTGGAAATGACAAGACTTAGATTTTTCATCCATTGTTTTGGGCTCTAGATTACAAGCTTCACAAGAAAATATTTTGTGTCTTACCAATGATACCAATGACACATTATGAAGTTATTTGCATTAGAATTAAAGTATTTCCTTAGTAGTAGCCGTTGTTCAAAATGAAATATTTGAAATATTTGAACTGAAGTATACCAAGTTTAAAGATGAAAAACTAGTTCTTTTACTGAAGAAAGCAGGTGTTATCTTCTTGCCGCAGGAAAGAAATTGTACTACTTATATGTTGAAGCCATATACAGCTCTACTTGGTATGCAAGCAATCCAGTTTGACTATTTGTTCATACATTTTATTAGTATGTTCATGTTCAGTGTTTCCTTTAAGTAGAGAGCTTTATCCTGGAAATGGGAGTTGTGCTTCCCTTACTCAGCTGGTGTCCATGAAATCTGATCTGCTGCAAAATTATCCAACGATATTTTGCTAGAAGTCTTAACTCACCTAACATTCATCAAGCGTACAAAGGCATCTAGGCAAGCTTGGCTTTTTAAAAATAGACTTTCATTCCTAAAATATTATTCTTTATCTCTCTGCTTTCATTGCTTTGAAATGTAGCATAGAAATGTGCTAAATGTTCATATAAGATGGTGATATTAGGTCTTAGTTTTTGAAAAACTCAAGCTTGTGGAACTGATTCTGGCTAAGGTCTCGTGTAGAGTTGATTGATCAGAAAATTATATTTAACTACAGGATAGGGACAGTTTTAATTTCTTTACTGTTATCTTGTTGTCCTTTGGATTTTTACAGCCCAGTTAGGTCATTGCTCAATTGATGCGAGAGCTTGCAGAATTTGTCTGATCTGTGCTTTTCCTCTGAGGGGCAAAACCATACTTAATGGTTGGTTCTCAGCCTGATAAAAAGCCATTACCTAAATAGCTCACTACTGCAGACCACCTGATGTCTGAGAAAAAAAAAAGATTTAGAGTGTGAAAAAAAATCAGGAAATCACTGTCCTCATATTTGCAGACATGTATTGGTTCTATTACTTTCATCTTAATAAAACTTAGTAATGAGAAGGTTGAGATTTATGCTTGGGAAAAATTTACTTTTAGTTGAGACAGATCTGATAGTCTGATACCATGTCCCACAAGCTCCACAATTAAATAAAGCCAAGGCAATAGTTTTCTTCCATTGTCAATTATGGTAAAAGGAGAGGGAAGAGCTTAGTTATTACAATAAAAGGACTCAGAATAAAATCGGTAACAAACTGTTCAATTGAAGTTCCAAGTCAAACTAAAACTGAAGAAAGCCAACCACATTTCATAATATAATTTTGAGCATAACATTACAATTTTCAGGGAGAACATCAGGAATTACTTTGAAGTCCTGAACCTTCAATGATAGCAAACAGAGGAGAACTGTGTAATAAAATCAAATAAGATAATGACATATGTTAAAAGAAACTGTCAAGGACCTGAAAACAGAAGAAATCAAACTGTGTGTCATAAAAAATTAGAAATTGCCAAGAAGAGAAGAGAAGCTCAAGCCAAGAAAACTATGGAGGTAACTTAAATAATTTCAGAGAACTGTTGGAAGAAACAAGAAGCAATCTTACAGTGACTTCTGTAAAGACATTGAAGATGGAAATAGAAATGGAAAAACAAGGAAATATTTTGGAGGTTCCCATATTCCATTGGTATGCTGTAGGATGCTGATAGTAATATTCAAAGAAGACTAAAGGTAAAAGTAGTCTGAAATGTGCATCCAAGATCCCTTAGAATATATTCTAACAAGAACGATGATTATTAGAACATAATATTAAATCAGTGTTCTAATCATTATCAAGTTGGAAGGCTGCAGTATTGATAAAATATACACAGAGATAATGGCAAACAACTGAAGAATTTTAAAAATATTTTAACTAAACTATGTCAGTAATCAGGGGAATAACATAGAGGTTGAAAGACTGGAAGATGTTATACTTACCAATACCAAAGCAAAGAGTTTTAACAATACTGATAGAAGAAAATATTTGGTAGCCTGGCGTTGAACTGCAGGGTCCTTGGTGCTTTCTAAGCTTGGGTGTTTTCTTGCAGACATTTTATTACCAAACTGGGTAACATCAGTCCAGTGCATCTGCAAGAAAGCAATGAATCATGATTAGAGGGCACTAGGGAACTCACAGTTTTAACAGTATATGCAAATTATCATACAATATCTTTAATTTCACATGCTACAAAAGTAATGCTTGGTGTCAAACAACACAGATTAGAGTTCTATATGGAAAGGAATATGCCAGATGTTCTAGTTGGCTTTAGAAAAGGCTGAGGAACATGAAACATTATTGCTGATGCACACTGGATAATTGAGAAGACCAAAGAATACCAAAAATAAGTCAATTTGTTCTTCCTTGATTATAGAAAAGCCTTTGATTGGCCAACTATATCAAGCTCTATGTGCTTAAAAAATCAGAATCCCAAAATATCTCGTCCTCATGCAAAATCTATACACAGAAAACTACAGTGCAGATAGGTAAGGCAAAACACACTGATTGCATATTCTCACCTATATCAGAATGAGGCTCTGACTTAAAAACTGGATGAAGAAATCAGTAATCTACATTATGCTGACAACACTGTTCTGATAGCTGAAAATGCAAATGATCTGGAAGCTTTAGTAATGAAAGTCAAGAAGCATAGTACACTCAGCAGTCTGCCTTAGAACTGACAGTGAAGATACTGAAGGGCTGCATAGTTTGTTTTTTAGGATTGACTATCAACAATAAATAAATAGAAGTCAAGGAATACATCAGTTGTAGTGTTTGGTAAGTAGCAATGTAGACCTCTGAAAAGATGCTGTGTTGTGACTCTGGCTCTAAAGATCTGAATTGTGTAGACAATGATAGCACTGTATGTGCCACCATTTGAAAATTAGAATAGAATAGAAAGATTGAACTTTGGTATTGGAAGAGACTCTTGAAAATATCATGGAGAATCGAGAACAACCAATAGAACAGTTCAGAGTTGTCACTCAAAGTACAAATGACCAGTGCTAGTTATTGTATTTGAAATGTATTGTGCATATATTTACTTCTATGGAGAAGTCTATAATGCTGTGAAAGGTAGAAGGAAGGAGAAAAAGAGAGTGACCAGTAGCAAGGTGGAGGGACATCCAGCTAGTCCTTGACTTATGACCACTTGAGCCTAACATTTCTGTTGCTAAGTGAGAGATTTGTTAAATGAGTTTTGACCCTTTTATGACCTTTCTTGTCACAATTGTTAAGTGAATCATTGCAGTTGTTAAAATAGTAATGAAGTTGTTAAGTGAATCTGGCTTCCCATTGACTTTGCTTGTCAGAAGATCTCAAAAAGGGATCACATGACCCCGGGATACTACAACTGTCATAAATATGAACCAGTTGCTAAGCTTCTGAATTTTGATTATATGACCATGGGGATGCCGTAAGGGTGGTATGTGTGAAAAATGGTCATGAGTCACTTTTTCAGTGCCGTAACTTTGAAAGGTCACTAAATGAACTGTTGTAAGGTGAGGACTACCTGTAATTACAGTGGTGGGGGTTACATTGCTGAGAAGCCTGGAGAACCAGTTTTATCCTGGAGAAGATCCATCTATGTGGTCACCAAGAAGTAACACTGACTTGGTAACACGTAATTAGTCAAAGTTTAAGAGGGAGGGGGTTGTTTTGGTTGATTTTTTAAAATAATGGTTCTTTTATGAACTCATAACAAGTTTTTAATGAACCTCCTTTATGATCTTTTTCTGTTGTGTACTTTAAAAAAGAATGTTTCACTTGGATATTTATAGGGTCACAGAAAATAGAATAGTGCTTATTTGGTTATCTTGCTGAAAATATATGCAACCGAAGTATGTCTTATTAAGCAAGAAATTTGCGGTACAAAAATTTCTCAGGTTTAGATTGATAAAAGAACCCCATCATTATAAGCAGCTCAAACTTTGCTCTGAGGTATATAGCAAAACAATGATTAAGAGGTTTTGTTTGCTGATTCTTCTAGATTCAGAGCAGTATTGAAAGTAGGAGAATGCCAATCAAGTTATCTAGATTAAAGTTTCAAACTTTGAAAATGTTTGGGAAGCATTATAGGGCATTAAACATTGTAATTAATTAAAAATATTCAATGGATATTTTGTATTTTCCCCCAAACTAGTCAAACTAGAAAAGTACAAAATGACAATTTAAAAAGCTGGGTTTTTTGGTTGGGACATAAATTCATTTTCTGATAGACTCACATGTGACATAGTTTAGGTTTATTTAACTTAACAGAAACCAAATTTTTAAGCTAAGGCCTATTTTTTCCAGAATGCAGCATGTTTTTGATGTTAACAGCCTTTTAAAATATAAGGAAATCATATACACTGAATGAAAAAGCTGAATAAAAATATGACTAATACTTTTGGTTCCAATATCTATAATAGCATCTTGGTGATGATACACTTAAGGAGTTCTTGCTGAAAACCTAGTCCCAACAGGGCAATTACTTCAAGACTTGTCATGGGGAGACTGAAGGGGAAGGACTGACCATCTTTGAAAGTATTTCATGAATACCTGCCAGGTGAATCTTGAAAACTTCACCTTGTACTCTGTAAGGAAAGCATAGTATTCCATCTGGATCACAGATGATAGCTGCACAAGCTGTCCTTTATGGTGTCAATAGGGTATTTTAAAATGTGAAAATAACATCACTTAGAAATTATTACGCATGTGAACCCTTGAACTTCTCAGTCTTCCCCAATTCCTGCCAAAATGATCTGACACAGCATTCAAGTAAGCCTCTAAATACTTAAAACTTTAAAAACATAACTTACTTACATTGGAGAGTTTCATTTTATTGAATATATGTGAGAAAACCTCAGCATGTTGTGTATTACAGTTTCTTCTGAGAACTAGTTTCACTTAGCAGTCAGTGAAAACATCTTGTACATATGAAAGTTCTTAAATTGTGTCTTTTAATAATTCCTGGTGCAATCTATAGCAGCTTGTGTTACTATCTTATTTCATGTTTTCAGGCTTTGTATATTGCTTTGCTTTTTAAAAAAGTATTAGTTAATAACATGAGACAGACTGTATAAGGCAGCTAGTCCTGTAAGTCTTTAAGCTTAGTCCTAAATTTTATATAAGATTTTACATATCATCTAAGCACACTGGATTGGGCTTGGAAGCCAATAACATTGTTTCAGTTGTTTTCTGTACATCCTTCAGGATGCATCACTAATCACACGCACCACTACATTTTTGTGTTGTCTTCAAGATTTACTCCTCAAAGTTCAGTGGTATTTAAAAGTTTGTGAATTCTTTTGAATTTTCAATTTTTTAGCATAAATATGATTAAAACATGATCTGTTCTCCACACAAGTCCTACAACTAGATAAAAAGAATTTAATCAATGAAAACAAATGAATCAAAAACATTATGCTTGTTCATTTATTTATTGATGAAAATGACAACAATCTTTCTTTAATGAGGGACAATGTGGCTTTATCAGTTGAAGGTTAAAAAGGCTTTTCGTGCTACTGCTGTTAATGAATTTAGCATTAATGATGACTCCCAGAATGCAAATCTATTCCCTGGCCCACCCAGAACAGGCATTTCTGCTGAATCCTAAAGTCTACATCAGTTATTCTACATCAATTGTTACCTCACAGCAATCAAATTTATTATGGTTCATGACCAATACAAAAGATATTAAAACAACTCAAGTTCCATCCATATTACACTATAACACTTTCCTGTATAAGTATGTTTTTATTAATTAATATTGATATGACTTAAGAAATAAAAGGGTGATGCCACTTTAGAAGACTTCTAACTAACTGATGGGGATTATTTCTATTACAGGAGTGAATTATTTAAGAATGTAATTCTGCATAGAATTTACAACATAGAGAATTATGTTTTAGAGTTTCAGTTTCACTAGAGGCACAAGGGCATTGCCTAACCACTGCATGAATCCATTTTATCCACCTTCCATAATTGTAAAGGGGAAGACATTAAAATACGCTCAGCAAATAGGACGTCGGTAATGAGCGTAATATAATAAATAGTAGCAAACAAGTTCAAGTTCCCTCAATTCATTGAGAAGAAGATATAATCTAAATTATTCTGAAGTTCAATATCTTCTAATACTGTAAATTTTCTGTCTTATTAAGTGTAACCAATATTTAGAAGGCAATTGGAGAATATGCCAATATGAAACAGTTTGCTACTTTCACTGCCAAGTTTCAAATATGGTATAATTCCCCTAGTCTTCTTAGCATTTCCCTTTCCTTCCTTCCTTGTAGTACCACCTCTGATAACTTTGCCTTTTTAATTCTCTTGCCTCCTTTGAATACTGCTGCCAGTGATGGCTGTTACAGACATTATATAGTTAAGAAATGTTTTGTGCATCACTCCACATACTGAATTTGTGGTCCAAAAGTCTCAACAAGATCATATTCCCCATCTATCTCCCTTTATAGATCATTCATCAGGGAAATCAAGACTGTTTTCATGCCTAACCCAGGTCTTAAATGCAGATTAAGAAGGGTAAAGTACAGTCTAAATGTTGCTGGAGATGCAGTACTGCTTCTTTTTCAGCCAACTTGGCTTTAATTAATAAAGCCAACCTGTCCAAAAATGTATCTTAAAAAAGAGCTTGGTTGCTACAACTTTTGAAGAGTCAGGAAACTCTGCCTATAAAAAAATGACTGTTAATTATCTTAGTCATTATTGGGAGGACAAAGTCCTTAGAGGCCCTTATAAGTCAAGATAGTGAATGATATAGATAGCAATCTGAATAGATCTGAAGAACTGCATTTGTTACTTAAAGAAAAAATGGTGTTGCACACCATGGATGCAATATTGTTCAAATTAGCTTTAAGCCTTGCATGAGTTTTAATGATCTGGTGTCTGAGGAATTGCTCAGAGAACTGCTGCTGCTTCTCTCTTTTGCTGTTATTTAGATCTTATGGTAAGGCAGCCAATGATGTGTTGTTACTGCTACCTGTGCAGACAGCCAATTACAATTCCTGGGCTTTTTTTATCTTTTGTATTCAGAGTCTTAAACTCCCCACATAATGGTGAAATCATTGTGTTGAGTAGGCCTTTCATTTGCGGCAGTCCAGTTCCCATTATCAGTTAAAGATAATTTTGCTGATCCAGTGTTGTATGAGCGAATTTCATCTTTCACAAAGGTTTTCTTCCCCTATTCTATCCTGGAGTAAACTCCTGGATATCCAGATTAAGTTTAGGGGACTTGGAAAGAGATAAATGGAATTTCATCTACCATTAATATCTGCTTGAATTATTAAAGGAGACCATGGTTACCCCCCCCTTTCAGAGTGTTTCATGTTACACTTTGCTCAACAACGTTTCTTATTTGTTGGATTGTGAATTTCATTATTTTATAGTTTAAGAATAGAATTTGATGAAAAATGAGATAACTAGAAAAAATAATTTTTATACAATTATACTTGCTTTCTATCAAGCCCCTCTGCAAATTCACTCTGTGTTTGTTCTGTGATGAAATTATGAAGTAATTTCTGAATGTATTGTTAAAATTCAGAATAATGTAACTCACCCATAGCTATTTAGAAAGAGAACTATAGCAGTGAAATATATATAGTAATGTAGTTAATGACAAGAGGGCAAAGCTAGGTGATATGTCCACCAACTCATTGGTGACCTCATAGCATCTTAAAATTGAAATGCCCATTAAATAAGAGAAAGTAGAAAACCTGACCTGAATATGTTGCAATCCATACTCAAATGGACAAACTATTGACACCAGCTGAAGGTGATTTTGAGATAATAAATTACTGCTGGGTTCTCCAACTCCTTGCATCTATCTGTCATTCCTGTATTTTTCCAGCCAAAAGGAAAGTTGCAAGTAAATTATATAAGGGGATTTGAAACACTGTTGATCAGCAAGATAACTCTTTGAAAATAGAAGGCAATGGGACCAAATTTTGTGTAGAGTAAAGGTAGCAAAAGAAAAACTAAATAAAAATTGGGCAGAAAGGAGCAGAGAAAAAAATCCTGAAAATTTCTCTAACGTGTCTGTGGGAAAGGTGGATCTGAATGTTGGCAACTACTCCATTTTAAATCTACTTTCTGGCTCTTGGGCCCTTAAGCTAGCGTGGACATTTAGTAGCTTGCCTCTTACTACCCATGCACACATGTAAACACACATAGATACTATATGCCAGAACAGAAACACCATGTACAGGTAAACATTATTTTGTTATACAAAAGAATATATAGATACATCCTATAGCCACTATCAGTAAAAGTACTGGATGAAATTTCAGAATTGTATGCTATTACTACTTTGTTATGTTATTCAGATTCTTCTAGGATCATTCTATTGAACTACAAATTAAAATTATAAAACTCTTGAAACTCTTGTGAAGGCAGTTGTTCTGTTTAACAAAACATCGAGGTATTTTCCAATTTTGTCATTGCATTTATCAGGCACTATTTTAAGAAATGATTATTATATAAAATAGGAATACTTAAAAATGAAAATACCTATATTTTATAAAATGACATCGGTGAGTGATGAGGGCAAGTGTTTGTTCTAAGATTACATTACTCATATATATGTTTTATACATACATACCTCTTTTTCTTTCTAATAATGTTTAAATAATATGCTCACTTTATATGGATGTAAAACATTAGTCTTTGACTGCCAGTTAATAGTTGTAAAATTGTTACAAAAATGTATCGAGGATTGTGCCATACAAAGTTTTTGAGTCCTTGGTATTTTGGACAAGAGGAGTCTTTTGACTTTCGATTAACAAAATGTATATTTCAGAAAAAAGAAACTTATCTTCCTTACCATTTGAAGCTATTTTATTTTATCATTGAGTGCTACAGAATTGGGAAATACTCAGCTTGTGCCTTTGTGCAACAGATTATGAAAGTCTTAATTATATGTATGACAAAATCTATTTTGTAAGGGACAGTATAATCACTGATATCATTTTTTTCTTTGAGAAGGGCTGCTTTAAAAAAAAATGGGAAGAGAATGTTACTTGAATACCTTAATAGCTGATCTGTGATGGTTTGATCCAAGAGCTACAGGTTAAGACATTTCTACACACTGTGGGTTGTCTCAAATGTTACACTTTTTCAATTCATAAAGCACCTACATTGAGAAAATGATGCCATTTTTATTCACTTCATATGTTGCTCTGGTACTTTCCTGGAATATCTCTTTATGATCTTGCCTTCCAGGTGTGAGTGTACAGATTCAGTGCAGACACAGCTGTAAACTGCTATTTAGCCTTACCAGAAAACAAATTGTACTCCATAATCTGTTGCATTTCTGTTTTAGATTAATCACACAATTGAGTTACCATCCAATTGTAGTTAATCTAAAGCAGGGGTGTCAAACTGCCCGCCCACGGGCCGGATGCATCATAGCAAAACAGCACCCACCCCATTGCTGGCAATGGCAAAAAAGTCGCAATACATCGCGACACATCACGTGACATTGCGAATTTGACACCTGTGATCTAAAATATTAAAAAATGACATGAGCCTGATTCAGAGCACAGTTTATGAAAATTAAACTAGTTACAGTTACTAAACTAATAGTTAAATGTTGGATAATATGGTAAATCATGCTCAGTTTAAATTAGAAGAGAAAGTTTCCAATTTCAGGAATGGAATGTGAAACCAAGCCTTGGTGAGGCTTTTTCCTGAAGTGCTGGACATTGTCTTAGGGTTAAAAATGTAGACATACATATTATTAATTTCCCTGCCTAAGCTTTCTGTTTCACCCTAGAGATAATTGATTTTAATATTTCAAGTCTTTTTTTTTTTCAGAAAAAGCCTTTGATAATTTAATATTAATAAAGGAGAATATTTGTAGCTCAGGGTTGACATGAGGGTTCCTTGGGGCTCTCTGAGCTTGCTTGTTTTCTTGCAAATGTTTCATTATCCAAACTAGGTAACATTATCACTAGCACTGATGATGTTACCTAGTTTGGGTAATGAAACTTCTGCAAGAAAACAAGCAAGCTCAGAGAGCACCAAGGAGCCCTCATATTTTAATATCTTTTTCGTAGTTATTTTTATATAATATTCTCATACTAATTCTAAGCAGAGTGTGAAATTTGAATTTTCACATTTGTAATATTAATGGAACAACTGTATTTGGCAAATATTCATTTCAATTTTAACCAGTTGTGTTCAGCTCTGATTAACATGGAATATAATGAGGAAATTTCTTAGCTTATATCCAAGCCTGAAAAAAGTTCTTTTCTTGGTTAATAATAAAATCCAGATGCAATACAAGCACTAATATTTGCATATTTACTCAATATATGTGTGTGCTTGTATAGAAACTACAATTTGTGTACGGTTGCAATATTTTATATGTTTACTTGAAATTAAATTCCAATTATCAACAGGAATTGAGTTTTGAAAATTATTGCCTTAAAGTTTTGATTATACCTGGCACTATAAAAATATATAAGAAATATTACTCACACTTTTTAATGAAAACTAGAAACAAACAAGATTTAAGATTATGTGATTACAAATAGTGCTGAGAGCTAAAATCATGTTTTGTTTTCAAAAGTCTGTATAGAAGATAATTAGTTTGAAATCTACCTAATAGCAATATTGTATTAATGCTCATAGCATTAAATAATTCCAAAACGATCTATAAATAAAGTGTTTTAAAGTTTGTCCTCTTAAAATGTTTTTAAATCTTATGGGAAAAAGTATGAGAGTTACAGGTTTGTTTAATAATAAGGGAAAAGCCTAAACAGTTTATCTTCAGAAAAGAGAAATTCTAAGGAGGGATGTACAAAATGTAGTTCGCAAATGAATCTTATTTTTTAATCAAGAATGCAAAACGACTGTTTTCCTAGTTTGTCTTAGTGATTGATGGGTTTTCTTTTGCTGAAGGTATTTAAATAAAAACTGGTCTGCTAACTGTCAGGGATGATGAAGTTATAACAATGTCACACTGGACAAGGAATTAGAGAAGCTGACCTCTAAGCTCCTTCAATTATGTTTACAGTCCATCTGATTTTTTTTATCATTAAGTTGCATTTTTGTCTGAATCAGCAACAAGGTCTTTGGGTTTTCATGTCATTCTTCATTTTCAAAATGGTTTCAGAATTCAATCTTAAATTTCAGTACATTTTCATCCTTGTTTAGTAGATATGAAGTTTATCAATTTAGATATGTAATTCACTTCATTATTTGATTAATAATATTTATGGTGTCTTGAATTATTGTTTTATTTCTGTCAAAGTGAACCCCATGGGATATTTTTAGTTACAGTATCTTTCTTGAAAATCTTAAGTGTCAAAATCACTTTCTGTCATAACCTGATTATATTACTGGAGATGAAAAATGCTTGTTGCTTTTGATTTTATGGACATACCTTGCTTCCAGAGTACTCCCATGTTCCACATGACTATCATGTGGAGCTTTTTTTGTCTGTGAAAACAGAAAACAGAAGTCTTTAAAATGAAAAGGTGAATTAAAGTTGCCAGAAAGTTCTTGGTGGATATATCAATTACATCTAAAGTAGATCTGGTAAAGTTGAGATAAACATATTTTTACTAGCTACATGCATACATACATATATGCATTTTTATATTCTTTGTGCAACACTGAGGTACGAATGTAACTTCTGCTAGATATTAATAGTTAGTCTTAGAATCTCCCAAAGTACTGGAAGTGTTGCGACGATACCAAAGTTTTGACAAATTTCCAGATAAGATTGGTCATTATCTGAGATTAAGAAGAGGTATCTGAGGCCAGAAAATGTTGCTAATCTCTGGCATATATCAGTGCAATTAAGTAGAGATTTAATTAATCCAAATTGGGTTGTTTTCTTGTTGAGTTCCCCAAGTTTCCTTGTTCTTTGTGAGCATAAACTTCCGGAAGTGGTGTCCATGTAGAGAACCAGTTGTTCAAATGTTTGAATCCCACCATTGCATCTATGGTATTGATCACTGATGTGAGAACACATTGTGAGTTTCTTTTAAGGAATCAGTTGAAAAGGACAGATTTATTTTCCCTTTGTCTGGTAAATTCTTTGATTAGATTCAAGAAACTAATCTGATTGTTCTACTCTCATCAAATTTATGCTCACAAAGAACAAGGAAAGGGGCGTTGGTCTTACCTGAACGCCTTTTCTCAGTAAGGAGATGGATAATCCATGGATGGGTTTTCTCTGTCTGCCTGCTCTTGAGACCAAGTAGCCAAAGCTTGACACGCCCCCACTTCCTGTGGAGTCCATTCTTAACGAGGGCGAATTGGCTGATGATTGACGAGGTATTGGCTCTCAGCTCCCTACTAGCGGCCTGCTGGCCTTGGGGTGGGTGTGGATTATCCATCTCCGTACTGAGAAAAGGCGTTCAGGTAAGACCAACGCCCCTTCTCCAGTACAGGAGATGGATAATCCACGGATGGGACGTACCAAAGCCTCACTGTCCCAAGGGGTGGGAAACAGATAAGGCCGGTAGATTGATCTCTGAGACAACTTGCTGGAGGACCCTCCTACCAAAGGAGGCGTCCGCCGATGCAAAGCGGTCTATCTTGTAGTGTCGTATAAACGGGGAAGGCGAGGACCATGTCGCGGCCCTGCAAACTTCCTCGATTGACGCCTGGGTAGCCCATGCCGCCGAAGTTGCAGCGCTTCGGGTGGAATGGGCTGTGAGATGACTTGGGGGTGGCAGGGATGATACATTGTAAGCTTCTGCGATACAGCTTCGGATCCACCTTCCAATGGTGCCCGCGGAAACTTTCCGCCCCAAGGTGCCCGCTTGGAAGGACACAAATAGGGCCTCCGATTTGCGGAAGGGTTCTGTACGCTTTATATAACGCCGCAAGGCTCTGCGGACGTCCAATGTATGCCACTGCCGCTCCCGGTCATGTGTTGGATTTGGACAGAAGTTTGGGAGAATTACTTCCTGTGTCCTGTGAAAGAGTGAATTCACCTTCGGTATGAAGGCAGGATCTAACCTAAGGACCACCCTGTCCTTGTGGAAAATGCATAGGTCGTTTCTGACTGACAGTGCGGCCAGTTCCGAAATTCGTCTGGCCGATGTGATGGCAATCAGGAACGCCACCTTTAGCGACAGGTGTCGCAAGGAAACGGTCGCCAATGGTTCAAATGGTGACCGAGTGAGTGCGTGAAGGACTCGCGGTAGTTCCCAGGACGGGTACCTGTGAATTACTGGAGGTCTGGTGTTATAGGCGCCCTTGATAAAGGCGCGGATCCTGGGGTGGTGAGCTAAGGGAACCGAATCCGTGCAGGTGAGGAGGGTGGACAAGGCCGCCACTTGCCTGCGGATGGTCGCGGGGGCGAGGCCTCTGTCTAGTCCCTCCAAGAGGTAATCTACTATCTGAGGGATGTAGAGTTTGTGTAAGTCAAACTGCCGTTCCCTGCACCAAAGGCAAAAATTTTTCCAAGTGGAGTCATAAATGCGGTTTGTTGCCGGACTGCGTGAAGCTTGAATTATGGTAATGGCCCCGGGAGAGAATAGTTCCTGTGCCATTATCTGGCGCTCAAGTGCCAGGCGGTCAGTTGTAACCATTGGGGTTCCGGGTGACTGATGGTTCCCTGGTGTAGGGACACTTGTTGAGGGGGAATGTTCCATGGGGGCGACTGAGACAGGTTCATCAGGTCGGCGAACCACGGTCTCTGTGGCCAATATGGTGCTACTAGGATCACTTCTGCACGCTCCTGAATCAGTTTTCGGATGACCGCCGGTATGAGTGGTAGTGGGGGAAAGGCATAAAGCAGACCCTGAGGCCACTGAGTTCTCAGAGCGTCCGTCCCCTCTGCTCGCGGGTTGAAGTAACGAGAGTAAAATCTGGGGAGCTGGGCATTGTCTGATGATGCGAACAGATCGAGGATCGGGTACCCGAACTTGCGGGAGATGTCTAGGAACAAGTTCGGGTGTAGCCCCCACTCCGAAGGGTCCACTGTGGTGCGGCTTAGGAAGTCCGCTTGCTGGTTGTTGACCCCCGATATGTGTTCCGCTTTTAGTGACTTCAGATTGGGCTCTACCCAGCTGAATAGGAGTCGTGACTCTGTCATCAGGGTTTTTGATCTGGTCCCCCCCTGCCGATTGATGTGCGCCTTGGCTGCTACGTTGTCTGTTAGGACTAGAACGTGGTGGCCTCTGATTCTGTCTTTGAATTGTTGCAAGGCTAGGTGGATAGCCCTGAGTTCTAGCCAGTTGATGTTGTTTCTCAGATCCGTGGCGGACCAACGTCCCTGTACAAACCGGGAGTCCAGATGGGCTCCCCAACCATACAGACTGGCGTCTGTAGTGATGGTAACTCTGACTGGTTCCTTGAAGGGTGACCCCTTGGTCACGGCCCGAGAGCACCACCAGCGTAGCGCCCTGCGGATTTGTGCCGTGACCCTGACTAGGTGGTTGGATGCGCTGGTGTTCTGCCGTTGGTACGGGAGCAGAAACCACTGTAGTTCCCGTAGGTGGAGCCTGGCCCAGGGTACAATGGCTATGGCCGATACCATCTTGCCCAATAATTGGGAAAGTGTTAGTATCGGAACTGAACGTTGCCTGTGAACACAGCGAGCCAGTTCCCTGATGCCGGCCACCCGGTCTTGGGAGAGATAGACCATACAGTTGGTTGTGTCTATCATGGCCCCCAGATGCAGCAGCCTGGACGAGGGAACTGTCTGGCTCTTCTGAAAGTTTACTGAGAATCCGTGTAATTGGAGGACGCGAATGACGGTCCTTACGTCCGCCTGAGCTGTCTGTAGGGATGTTGCTTGGATTAGTATGTCGTCTAGGTAACATTGGACGCGTATTGGGATTTTTCTCAGTTTGGCGGCTACCGCTGCTAGTATCTTGGTAAATACCCTGGGTGCCGAAGATAGACCGAAGGGGAGAGCTCTGTATTGGAAGTGTTTTCCCCCGTAACAGAAACGTAGGAACCGGCGGTGGTTTGGGTGGATGGGGATGTGAAGGTAGGCTTCCGTGAGGTCTATCGATGCCAGGAAGTCTCCTTCTCTGATGCTTCCCAGGATGGACTGAAGGGATTGCATCTTGAATTTTTTGTATGTGATGTAGCGGTTGAGGTTTTTTAGGTCCAGGATTGCCCTCCATCCTCCTGAAGTCTTTGGAACCACAAAGAGGATGGAGTAAAATCCTCTGCCTCTGTATTCCGCTGGGACCGGTTCTATTGCTTGAATGTCCAACAGGTGTTGGATGGCCTCCTGCATGAGTTTGCGTTTGGTGGGGTTCCTGGAGACCGAGCAGTTGATGAGTCGGTCTGGGGGTGTGACCAGGAACTCCAGGGACAGCCCGGACTGGATGGTTTGTAGTACCCAGTTGTCCGTGGAGGTCTGCTCCCACTGGTGGAAGAAGTGAGCTAGTCTTCCTCCAATGGGTAGGTCTATGTAGGAGTCATTTTGTCTTCCGGTACGGACGACCCGTTCCACGAAAGGGTCGTCTCGACTGGTTTTGTTGTCTGGGCTGGAACCCCGGTCTGTCGTAGGGGCGGCCGTACGGTTTGTTCTGCCTGGGAGTGAATGGCTTGGGTGCCTGACTGATAGGCGTGGTTGTCGGTTGACGAAAGGACTGCCTACGAAAGTAAGGTGTGGTACGTTTGTCTGACCTTTTGTTCAAGTGTGCCATGACCTTCCGCTTGTCTTTGTTCTCTACAAGATAGGGGTCCAAGGCCTCCCCAAACAGACCGTTGCTTGAGTAAGGGGCGGTCGCTAGCCGCCACTTAGCCTTGGTGTCAGCTTGCCAGTGTTTTAGCCATAGCATTCTCCTGGCAATTATGTTGGATGCTATGGATCTGGATGAAAAAATGGCCGATTGGAACATTGTGTCTGCAGCGTATTCCGTGGCTGCTACCATCTTAGCCAGGTCCTGGTGTGTTCGTATGTCCTCCATAGGAACTATGGTTTGTAGTTGTTGCAACCAGATGAGGGTGGCCCGGACAAAAAAGGAGGCCGAGGTGGCTGCTTTGATGGCCCATGCCGCTGTCTGGTGGGTTTTGCGAAAGGCTTGTTCCCACTTTTTGTCATCTGCCTTAAGGGCCTCCACTAGGTCCCCAGCCATGGCTGTCTGGGAGACCAAGGGGGTCCAGGCTTCATCTACTTTAGGAATTTCTAAGGCCTCATTGAGGTCTGTGGCAGTGCTGTATAATTTTTTGTCCGTACCACTCACTGATGGGAAGGAAGCGGGAGAGTCCCATGGCTTCTTGATCCCTTTCAGGAAAATGGCGGGGCAAGGTATATGGTGTTGCGTTGTCACCTTTTCTACGAATACGGGTCTGGATGTGGTGGCCGGTGTCGCTTGCGGCTGAGAAAACTGATCCGTCCCCATGTCCGCAATGGCTGTGGCCTTGCGTAGTATCGTGAGGAAGCGGTTGGGATTAAATAATCCCCCTGAGGGGGGCTCAGGGGGAAGTTCCTCATCCTCTGACATAGAGATCCCAGGTTG